CTGTTGAACAAGCAGCCTTGAATGCCAAGTGAGCTCTCTTTAGACTCTGAATGGTGATCACAAGTCGTTGCCCTAAGGTATTTGTGCCATTTTGGGCAGGCATCGAAAGGTCTCACCTAGAGTACTACGTTCAGAACCGAACACCGTATCTTCATAAGGACATCAAATTTCTAGAAGACGTTCAGCAACTAGAAACCCGGATCGCTTGAGGTCACAAAGGACTCAACTACTGGGCAAGATGAAACTCCCTGAATCTGTTCTACCTAGAACGCCGCCGGATAGGAAGGGACCATGTTAAAGTATACAAAGCCACCAGGAACATGGAGCAGTCCCCCATTGGGCACCTGTTCACTTCGCGGGCCAACAACATCCTTCGAGGATGCATGTACACACTTGAGAGAACCAAAAGTAGGCTATAAATAAGGTCCCCTTTCTTTGTTAATAGAGTAGTTCCTGCCTGGAACAAGCTATCACCCCGATTACTTGAATACCCCATAATGAAAGGTTTCAAACTAGNCTGGACACGTTATAAAATCTATTATTCCCAGATCTGCCCCAACGATCAGGGTTCATTTTATTTAATTGATAAAATACACCTAATAGATACTGCGCTATCTCTCTGTTCAGATATTACTCCCTTTGTGGAGAGTCAGACGAAGCATCACACTAGCAAGGGTTTCTGTCCGCGGACAGAAACCGTCATTACAAGAACAACTAACAAGGGAAGGCCTCTCTACCTACTGCGATTTCGACTTAAATTTTAACTTTGATCTGGACGTACCATTTGCCTGGGCCACACAACGTCCTGTGCAAGCTAAATCTGAACTTATCAGACGTTTTTTCGGAATCACGGGAACAACATATAAATGGACAGCAAAATTCATGAGAAATAGGACATTTTGCATTAGGGTAGGAGAACAAATGTCACCAGTCCTTCAGGTTACTAGTGGCGTGTCATAAGGGTCAGTGTTACGTCCGCTTCTATCCCTGTTGTTCACAAATGATT